GAACTAAGGAACTAAGAGGTTTGCCCAAGAAACTTGTTCTGCACGAGCGCCAGCCAAGGCATTGCCCTATACACATACAGCACAGCAATGAGCTCTACACATACAGCACAGCAATGAAGTCATAAAATGAACTAGGATCACACTAATCCAGCAATCAAGCGGCGGCCATATTGAGTGGGGCACGTGAGATTAATAACGTGCTGGATGAGTGTGATCCTAGTTCATTTTATGACTTCATTGCTGTGCTGTATGTGTATAGGTCATTGCTGTGCTGTATGTGTATAGGTCATTGCTGTGCTGTATGTGTATAGGTCATTGATGTGCTGTATGTGTATAGGCCAATTAAGTTGGATCTGTATGTGCGTTATAATTAATCAAAATTAATCAATTAAATTTTTTTTCGATTAATCAAACACGAAAATTTTAATCAGTAACAGCCCTAATTTCTGCACATCAATAACAGATCTTCCCTGACCCCCCACTCATAGCTCTGTGTAGATCTGATGACACAATCTGTGTACAATCTCCTTTACATTTACAGTTATGTAGTGGGAGGACCTGTCCAAAGACTCTATTGAGTTTATGCCGGGACCCGACACTGTATAGTTGTTGGTAGAACTGGATTGGCCAACTCTATGGTCATGTACACGTAGCTGGAGGTCTGGTGTTGATGGTCACAGAAGGAAAACTCGATCTCTTCCCATACCAGCCACGAGGAGCCCATCCTCCAATCACCGCCACACCTGAATATTGCTGCTTATCATCTACATTTTGGGGATTTTTTAGACTTTCGGAGCTGACTTTGGCTGCATCTCGTGTTTCAGATATACGTATGTGTGCAAGTTGGCTGTAAGGACTTTTTATCTGACATCTTTCTCGGGGGGATTGTAAATTCTGTAACACGGGAAGTCATTCTGGAAAAGTCGTTTTATTAGTGACCGCCACCGGAAAATCCAACTTCCTGATCATTTCCTGAACTGTCTGCTTTATAGGAATCCCGAGAAGTGGGCGGAGTTTATGTAGTGCCGCGGTACATGGACTCCGGAGGAGACATTGTGCACACTGTCCTGGATTAGCGGGGACATTCCCACTTCTTGGCACTCAGTCCCGATGACGCCGCGTCCCCGGTGATGTTCCGGGATCACGGGGGTCATCGTTATTTGATTTATCCCGCACGTGTAATTACTCAATAAGACATTTATTATGGTGATTGTGGGCAGTGAGTGGGTTGTCTCCACATAATTGGAGGTTGGGCCTGGGTGGGACACTCCAGTAAGTGGGCGGGGTTTTGGTCTGGAATAATCGCGTACAGGAAAGGGGTTTGGGAAGATCTGTCCGGTAATTGGGCATGCTCATGTCAGACTGGAGCGGTGTTATATGTGCCCTGGTAACCCGGGGCTGAAAGTCGCTGAGTATGAATTTAGAATTTATATGTACAGAGATATAAGGAGAGTTCCCTTTCTGCGTATCTACTTTGCTCCTCCCCCTCCAGAGCAGTGACTCCGCCCCCTCATGCCTGCTCTGTGTACATGGCTCTGTGCAGAGTCCTCTGATCTCTCCTTACCTGGACAGGTGACCTCGGCTCTGCTCATCTCCAACCGGCTGACCCGATTCTCCACAGAACAGGTGATGTTCCAGGGCCCCGGTGACCCCACAATGGCTGTAATGTGATTGGATGAAGCAGAATAACTCCCCGGGGATCCTCCAATCACAGATACACGGATATCCGGCTTAGTTCCTTCCTCCACCCTGCAGGAGATCTCAGCGCTGCCATTCCGGAGACATGAGACATTCAGGACCGGAACCGATACTGGAACTGAGAGAGGCAATCATTTCCATTGATAAGGTCCAATATACACACACAGCATGTTCCCACCTCCATCCCGACCTATACACAGGTGTGCTGACATCTTCCTGGACTCTGTGTGTGTGCACGTCCCCACCACAAACACAATGACCCGCACTAACATCAAATCTATATTCCTCAGTCATGTGACGGCCCATACACTCTGGCCAAGAGCTGGAGAGAGGGAACGTAAAAAGGAGGGGCCACCCACAGCGACCAATCAGAATTATCTTCTTATTCTCCTGAGGAGGTGACACCTGATTGGTTGCCGTTGGCAGAAACTTCACTCTGGAGTTCTGAAGAATCGGCTTCATCCCAGTAAACTGAACTCTAACTTACAGCGGAGAGTCGGCTCCGTCCGGGTCAGGGGGGCAGCCTGGGGGGTCGGAGCCCCAACTGGGGTCAGTGGAATCCCCCCCGAGGTCTCCGGATTGCTGCATTGTCAGTGTGTGTATTGGGGATCTGTCCCACTGCCATCAATGGTCAGATCTGAGACTCGGGGGCCCCGAGCAGAAGACACAGCACAGTTCAGGTCACAGGAACGTCAGGAGGGCTGAGCACTGCGTATGTGAATACACCGGGAATGGTGGGGATGGGGCAGTGAGCAGAGGACATTGTACATACGTGTCTCCCAGCTCTTCTACTATATCATGTATATAAAGACACGGAGCGGCGAGGACACTGCTAGGACTGGAGGGGAGGACTGGACGGGACTTACCTTCTACATGGACGGTGTAATCATCTGTCTGTATGTAGCTTCCTGTAGAGTTGTGTATTACCACTCTGTATACCCCGTCATTGTCCCGAGTCACACCGTCTATTATCAGACTTCCATTCTCTGATGTCCTGGTATTGGGGAAGATTGGGGGAGTTGTAGTCACGTTACACCCCCTGTGTCTGGCTAGTCTGGTCTCGTTGTATCTGGAGGGATCTTTATATGTCCATTCATACTGGTCACAGCTCCGTCCATCTGTATGGCTGAGGGTGAGATGGCGTCTGATGGGGAGGAGAAGGTCAGATCCCGGCCGGGTGAATATTTCCTCCTGAACACCGGAGACATTTCCTGTACAGACAGAATACAGATCACAGTCAGGTCGCAGGGCCGTGTACACTCCAATGATAAGAAGAAAAGAGTTACAAAGTAACAGTAAAGATTAGGAGAGGAGATGAGCGCGGCCCGTGGAGGTCTGACATTGGATGGTCATCATTAGGCCTCCCTCACACCAGGCACAGTGCGTTCCGGCCCGATTCTGCCCAGAACGCACTGCAACCGGCTCACTATGTTGTGGGGCAGGAGGGGGCATGGCTGTCCATTGAAGTGAATGGCACCGCAGCCAGGCCCTCCGGCCGCAATGCGGACGGCCGCACGGGAACGCAATGCACATTATGCCTGCGGTCCGGTCTGAACAAAATAGTGTTTGCAGCATTTTGTTTGGACCGGACCGCAGGCATAATGAATAACCGAGCTGAAGTGAAGTGAGCCAAAGCCTCTCCAGCTAATCACTGCACCTCTATTCTCCAAGGGGCCAAACAGCAGAGAGTGAATTGCCAAACAGTCGGCTCAGCATTCAGTTTGGTCATTTTGTTCACTACCTCAGAATGAAACTGTTATTCTAATCCCCCCCCCAAAAAAATAAAACAACATGGTGTCCCCTTCCCAAATCATACCAGACCCTTAGAAAAAAACACACCAAAGCTTAGAAAGACTTTCTTTAATTGAACAAAAAACAAATCTTGAGTTTTTGACAATTCCTTTATTTAAAATAAATTTCACAAAATGTTCCCACAAACTCTTCCCAGCGTCGGCCGACAAATAAAAAACCCCAAAACTCCACGATGCAATCTTTACATCGGACAGTAGGCAGAAATAAACAAATAAAAAAATGACACAAAATACCGCAGTACGCTTCATCACTAAGGATGGGCTGCATGTTCTAGCGTTCGCCGAACGCCGAACATTATGGGATGTCCGCGGTCTGTTCGACCCCGGCACATCCCACAATGCAACACACCATTCAATAGTAGCCACAGAGCCATTGAATCTATCTGAAAGAAAAACTGGCACCTACAGTGTGACCCGAAATTAGGCCCATCTCTACCACCCAAACCAACCATAGTGTTTAAAAAGGCGAAAAGCATCAAAAACATCATAGCACCCAGCAAGCTGCCCCCCCACCTCAGCAAAACCAACCCGTACCTTCCTTTTTGACAACAGAGTAGGAGTGTATCAGTGTAAGAAGAAGCTATGCCTTACTTGCCAATTCATAAGACATGGCCAAAAAACTATCAAGGATAGCACGGGCAACACTTACCCCATCCATCAATTCACTACCTGTGGACACGATCACGTGGTATATGGCCTAAGATGCCCCTGTAACCTCCTCTACATAGGACGCACGATACGACCACTGTCACAGACTTACCCGGAGTGTCCCCGCGCTCCAGCGAAGGGTCGTCTCGTGCGTGACGTCACGGCGGCTCCTCCCACGGGGCGCGGCTACCAGGGTAAAGGGTCAGCTGGTTCGTCGCTCGGCGTTCTCTCGTTGTGGAGAGTCGAGTGACGAACAGAGAACCCACATGCTGCCCTTGGATAGTCAACGCAGATCACTGCCCAGAACCACTAACTGGCGAACCGAGACTGCTACCCCGCTGTGAGCCCAGAACTATTCAGATCACACAACCGCAAGTATTCTGGAAGTCATTGCAAATCTTGCTGAACCTGCTACTTGTTTTAGTGCTTGCTTGCATGCTGCTTATGTGTTGCTCTCTCACACGCACACCCACTAAGCCTTCCCAGCTGATCCGGATTGCATCTCCTTCAGTTAGCTATACCTACTAAGGGTGCCCACACACCTTACGATTATCGTACGATAATGGGGGAAATCCCGCGATCGTACGATGATCGTAAGGTGCGTGGAAGCCGTGCGACCTCTACTACTGTACGGTCGCACGACTTTAAACTTACGGACATGTTCGAAAACCCACCGAGCGTCGTACGATGTTCGGCGGGTTTGTGGCATGTCCGTACGATAACAGCCGCACGGGCCGGTGTGCGCAAGCGCACACTGCCCGTTCGGCATTGCGGTCATCGGAAGCCCGCCCCTCAGGGGGCGTGGCTTGCGATCATCGCAAGTACGATCAGCCTATGCAAGATAGGCAGATCGTACGTTTTTTTAAGTACCTTACAACCATCGCAAGACAGAAGTCTTGCGATGGTTGTAAGGTGTGTGCCCAGCCTAAGAGACGTAGGGCAGATACATTCTCTAAGACAGCCATATTAACCCATGAAGGGTTGTGATAGTGCTAAAGTTCTGTTGTCTGCTGATAAGTCTGTTATTGGAGAGTATTTGAGCTATCCACAAATTGCTTACATGCTTGCTACCTGCGGATAAAACTGCTAACCTGGCACGCACCTCCCCATTGGCTCTGCCTACATATCCGATACATGCATCTGCTTTGATTACTAGAGATTAACCCTTATCTACTCTTACTGCTTGCCTCCCCATTTGATACTCCGCACGCTGGTACCGCACATGTACAGCTTGCCGCATATGAGTGTGGGGTAAGGGGTACTACCCTTATATCATCTTAGCCTAATCCTCACTCCAGTGTAACAGGAAGTATATGATGAGTGCGGTCTCCCTCTAGCAGTTAATGTCATTGGGAGTCGCTCACTGACCTTCCTCATCCAACAAAACCCCCATCGGTTCCGCAGCTGTGATCCAGTTAGACACTTATCACTGGTCCAGCCTTGACAACCACTCCGCAAACGCATAGGAGAACATAGAAGGTTCATTGAGAAGGGTGACATTGATCACAGTGTCCACAGACACTTCCTCCACAAACACAATAAAAATATTACAAAACTCCAGGTCTTTATCATTGAACAGATCCCCAATAACTTATCCCCACCTGAAAGATTCCACCAGCTCTGCAGACAGGAAACATACTGGATCTACAAGTTGAACACATTATCCCCTTATGGTCTCAACAAAGAAATAGATATCAACACGGTCATTTGAAAAATATTCTTTTATTTAGCAACTATACATCCCAAAAAAATTGGTTTTATTCATAGAATCTGGTCTGTATCTCCTTAACCAAACACTTCATATTCACCCTCAGTATACACACCAGGGCTTTGGGTCCGCCTATATGCCCGCCCCCCGCCTCCCCATAGGCTGTTTTTTCCTGTCTGATTCACGCCCATTGATGAATCCTCCCCTTTCGTCCTTTTAAAAATTTTCCCCGCCATTTCTTTCTCCTCCCTGGCTTGAAAAAGAAGTGTCATACTTCGAAACGCGTAGCCTCGTTCTATACACACCCAGCCTCCACCCGACTCGTGCCCGTGTGTTCCGCCAGCACCGGGTACGTACCGAGTGCCCCACTCCAGCCTGCAACCACTGCCCGGCACCCGGATCACTGCCGCAGCATCGCGGTATTACAAGCCGCCTGTGTCTGGCCCCCCCGTTCTGCTCGCACTCAGCCTTTACCCGACTTGTGCCCGTGTGTTCCGCCAGCACCGGGTACATTTATGTTTTCTGGGACAACTTGGAAAAATTGGATCAACCACTGAAGGTCGGGAATTACAACTGGCCCCTATTTTTCCAACCTGCCTCCCCCCAAAAAAATCGCCCTGTTTTTCACTTGGTTTGCAGCGATTCTCCCATATTATCTGTTAGAAATAAACAAAGCCTGCTATTGGCTATTTCAAATTGAAAAAGCCAATAGCAGGCTGGGTAATGCTCCGCCCCCTGCCTGATGTCAGTCACAGAGGAGTGGAGATGAGAGTAAAAGTTTTCTTTAAGGTCCGCTCCTCTGTGATTGGCATCAGGCTGTGGGCGAAGCATTAGGCAGCCTGCTATTGGCTATTACAATTTTAAATAGCCAATAGCAGGCTTTGTTTATTTCTGCCTACTGCCCGATGTAAATATGGCATCCGGGAGGCTTTTTTTCCATTTGTCGGCCGACGCTGGAATGGCTTCACGGGTTTAATTTTTTTTTTTAAATAAAGGAATTGTCAAAAATTTGTGTTGTGTTTTTTGTTCAATTAAATAATTTTTTTTCTAAGGTTTGGTGTGTTTTATATACATTTTATTGAATGAGTAGAGCTACAAGTCCCCCCTAATCATTCACTAATGGGGGGGCGGCATCTGGATGCCCCCTTTATGAAAGAGGTTACCCAGATGCAGATGAGCCCCCCTGCCCACAACCACCAGATGTGTGGGGAAGAGGCCATTGTCCCCATCAGCACGGGGACAAGGTGCTTCTTAAGGGGATTCTCTGTGGAAAGGCGCACTCCCTATGTGGCCTAGAAGGGGACCCGAAGCAAAAAAAAAGGGGGATCCCCTTTTAAATTCATAGCAGGTGCATTTGGAAAGCAGCAGCCTGGCAGGCTAGGAGGGCTGGAGATGAGCGTTTCCCCCTCCTAAACCATTCCAGGCTACATGCCCTCAGCATGGATGGTGCCTTAGCAGGAGGGACTCCTCTGGCAAAGCACCTTGTCCTCATATTGATGGGTCTGTGGGGGGGGGGGCTAATAGGAATCTGGAAGCTTCCTTTAAGAATAAACAAGGCCCCCCGATGAGGCTTATCCCTCACGTCACTGAGTAAGGGGTACATGCTACCCATTCATAAAGAAACATGTAAAGTGTAAATAAACACACTGACACTTTTTGACGAGTCCTTTATTAAAAAAAAAAAAAAAAATCCCCAAAATGTCCCATGCTGCCACCTGGCTACGATAAGGGGGTTTCCATAGCCAGCCGGCAGCATGGGACATTTTGGGGAATTTTTTATGTTTAATAATGGACTTGTGGGGGGCACAGGCTGCTGTCAGTCACAATGGAGGAGGGGCTTATGGGGAACTAGCATGTCACAGTTTCTCGTCAGTCCCTGCCCACTCTTAGCTAAATGTAAACAAAGAAGTGGGTATTCCCGGTGACATCATTGACTATTTTTGGATATGCCCATTTTCGGTCAATGGCATCACCGTCTACACCCCGCCCCTTTGTTTACATTAGGCAGTAGTGACTTTCATTCAGCTCGAGTCTCCTGTTAGGTGTGGACGTGTCGCTCAGTCGGCAGGTTTTTTCCTTCATTGGTGGGCAGGTGATTGGCCGGGATCTGCATCACTTCACGCTCTGATTCATCATGGATGTGCACCATGGGACATTTTTGGGGACTTTCTATTTATAATAAAGGAATTGTCATAAATTGCCCGTGTGTTTATTTACACTTTACATTTTTGTGTGACTGAGTAGGATTACTATGTGCATTGTACCCCTTACTTAGGGGGGCTTCCAGATCCTGATTAGCCTCCCACTTGCAGACCCATCAACATTGGGCCAAGCTGCATTGTTAGGGGGGTTCCCCATGGTAAGGGCATGTGGTCTGGTATCATTCAGGAAGGGGACACACACTCATCTCCACCCCTTTCCTGGCCTGCCCCCCTTAACATCTATAACAGAAACTCATCTAGTATAAGGGTCGGCTATAGAGGGAGGGAATCCCCAGCCGTTGTGTTTACACAGAGAAGGAAGCGGCCGGGAGTCATTTGATGGGAATTTACATGGTATTGTCTTCTCTGTAGAGGTCAGTGTTGCTGTAGTAGGTTGTATACATCACACAGATGTCCCCTTCACAGGAAGGTTCAGGACACCCCCTCCCCCCAAACATGTTATTTAAAGGCAAAGGACACTTTGAAGTACTGCCCGTCCAGCATCTACTTTTATTATTTATCCCTTACCTATCAGCCTAGAAAATAGAGAGAATTCATTTTCAGGATTCAACCTCGCATGAACTGTAAGGGCCCGTTCATACCGTACAGTGTCTAGTGCTTCCAGCACTGTTTCCACTGCATTGAATAAAGCCTCCTGCGTTCTGGGGCGGGAGGGGGGTCTGTTGTGCCATTCATGCTAATGGCAACGCAGACAAGACAAGTACGATACTTGTCAAAATGCCCTGTTTTTACAGGTGTTGGGGGTCGGGATCGTGATCGGGGGGGGGCGCAAAAATTCCCCTTGCCCACCTTGAGTAGAATCCTAGCACCGGCTCTGATTACACCTCTTGTCACTGTTTTTGATTACTATATCAGGCGTTGTTTTTAAGTTCTTTTAGGGCCTTTGTTTCTGATTTAGTTAGGTCGTCTTCCCCCCTTATTGACCAATCAACCGATTTCAGGTCATTCTGGACTAGTTCTCTAAATAGGGCCACATACTGTATCTATTGTTTAAGATATTCGGCATTGTTTTACATCTCTTTCTAAGGGGTGTTGTCCTTTTTTCATCTATCTCATCTAGTTCCTGAGAATCTCGGTTTTCCTCTAGGAGATCTTCCCGATCCCTCAGCACCTGTGCCTCAAGTGCTTCTTCATTTTTATTATTTTTTAGTGCAGTATTATCTCTTTTATTTGCATGCATATATCTAAGGTACACTCTCCTTAAGAAAAGGTGTAAATCGAAGCATATACTACATCTGAACTTAGAAGCTGCCATAAGCCTTGACGGATGGGCTTTAATCTTAAGGGGCTTAGACTGTCCTACACAACGATTGCCGTATTCACGGTCAGTTCTAAATTTTCTGCATTGTTTTTAATTGGTCGATAATGTAATACTCGCCTCGGGCGAGGGTCTATTCCCTCCGTGGATCACAACTGCGGATGGAAAGAGGTTAGTAGGAACGGGTATCAGATTAGCAGCTCCTCCCTGAATTGCCCAGTGTTGTAGGTTAGGCGGTTTAGGAGGCTGCAACACATCACACCCCGTTTATACAGCCCTACAGCAAGGAACAGTAACGAACTGATTATGATTATACCCAGCAGGGTATTTAAGAGTATTGATTCCAGTATGTTTATAGCAGGCAACAGTATTGTACTGGTTAAGATTCTACACAGCAGGTAAGTGTAGCACTGGTTAAAGTATGTATCAGCAGGTAATAGTAGTAGGGATGAGCCGAACACCCCCCTGTTCGGTTCGTATTCGAACATTCGAATGGCCGAAATGTTCGAATACGAAAATCGAACTCAATGCAAGTGTATGGGGGTCGAATGCTCGACCCCCATACAGTTGCCGGTACATGTAATAAATACAGTACCTCCTTACCTCCGCTGCTGTCCCGGCCTCCGGTCCCCTGGTCCGTCCAAAGGACAGAGAGCACCAGCAGACGTCACCGCCATCCGACGGCGAGCTGGGGTTTTGCTGAGCCGCGGCGCGCCTGCGCAGGACCGCGACGGCCACCCACACCAGGTCCCTGCAGGGTCCGTCTATTGCAGATAAGCAGAGATTGGCCATGTCTGTTGTTTAATTTTACACTAATAAATCCTTTTTCTAAGAATAATTCAAACTTTTGGTCTGTCCCGATCTTTAAATGAACCCTTGGACCCCCTGTACTCTATAGGTGGCCCGACCACTTTTTGTTTGATTTATGCTCTATATCGGTTATTGATCTGGTAAGACGGACCTATTCCAAAGGCTAAACTACTTAGAGCTACTGTATCTCCAGAAGTAAAACAATCCCAATTCTTGTTCTATGTATTCTATAATATGTCCCGTTTATAACGACGCGTTACATCTCTGATACAAAGCGCGGCAAATATATTTACAAGTCACACGGAGGAGTTTATTCCAGTTTTCACATTTCCTGTGATGTCATTATACAATCACCGTACAAGAACACGCGATGGAAGATACAATAATAGAAACATTGCTGCATTATGTCTCTGATATGTTCTCTGTCTAATCATCATATCATCACCTCTGTATAATGTTCTTACATACCTCCGCCCAGACAGACAAGAGCCCACAGGAGGAGGAGGACACGGAGGGGACACATTGCTGCAGTCGGGGGGTCCGGTCTATGAGGGGGAAGAATGAGACGTTCAGAGAACTCACACAGGAAGAAGTTTGTGCAATGAAATGTTTCTTCTTCCTCTTCTCACATATAATCTATTTATGTCGTAGAGTCACAACCACCAAGAAGAATATTTCAGTGTTTGTTGGATGGCAAAGAGTTATATTCAATGACTTTTTCTCTCTTCCTCTATGGTGAGATCTCTGTGCTGAGTTCCCGGGTCTGTACACCTGCTGTGCCCATTATGAGGGGCCCCCACCATCCCTGTGCTGAGTTCCCGGGTCTGTACACCCGCTGTGCCCATTATGAGGGGCTCCCACCATCCCTGTGCTGAGTTCCCGGGTCTGTACACCCGCTGTGCCCATTATGAGGGGCCCCCACCATCCCTGTGCTGAGTTCCCGGGTCTGTACACCCGCTGTGCCCATTATGAGGGGCCCCCACCATCCCTGTGCTGAGTTCCCGGGTCTGTACACCCGCTGTGCCCATTATGAGGGGCCCCCACCATCCCTGTGCTGAGTTCCCAGGTCTGCACACCCCCAGTTGACATTATGAGGGGCCCCCACCATCTCTGTTGGGTTTTGTATGTATTTTATATGATGATTGCTTCCACAAGCAGGAGATGTATCACTTGTATGTGTATGGTTTGTTATGTTCCATTGTCCACCCGCCTTAGCTTTCTCACATGGCTCCTTACCTCAGCCTTACCATCCTGTGCATAGTGACAGAACATGTTACATACCAGTGTAGCACCTTGCTAAAAAGAGTGCTAAGATATATCCATAGTCTATGTTCAGTTCAACTGTGGCAGAGCAATCTGTGGAGCTGTGTCTGCCTGTGGGTGAGTGTGGTACCACACAGAGCGGAGCAGCCAATGAGGATTGCTTTGGGCATTTATGTCTCCCACCCAATCACTGTAGGACAGTAACAGTGATGCATGCTGGGAGAAGATATAAATGCTGAGTGTGGCTGATGAAACGATCTCTTCCCTCCCCCAGGGGCCCTCCTGGGGGCATGATGCCTGCTGCTGAAGAGACAGAATGGACTAGGCCCAAGCCTGGGGCTTAGGCCTGGACACTGGGGCCTGAGCCTGGAGGCCCAGTGGTCAGCCACTCGTGTCTGAAGTTGAGTCTGAACAAGACCCTTGACAGTGCTGCTTGCCAGAAGTCCTCCACACAGATTGCCGGTACGGCTTAAAGGTCCAAGTCTGTGGTGGCAGCAGTTACTTTGCTCTATTTCAAGTACAAGGAGTCTATAGGGTTGCAACCAAAATTAAGATTGGGGCTGCTGGCCCCCCACTAAAAACAGTCTCAACTGTGATATTTACATAAGAATGGGCGGTGCTAGTTACATATGAATAAGCCACGACTCATTCTCCCCAAAAAAATGTCCGCTCGTGGCTAGAGTGTTCGGGTTTCAGGCCATGGAAGACCTGATCATTCAGCGGCTCCTTCGGGGGTGAGCGCTACACAAGAAAACCAGAACAACATCCTCTGTGTGCTCCTCTCTGGAACAAACTGCATTGAATTGTGTCTTCTTGGTGAGATGCCTGTGGGCCTTGGCATGCCATATTCTCCGTACAGACCGGGTCTCAGGAGGTATGTTTGTTGCAGAAAGTGACATTTAAGACACAACAGTAAAATGTGGTCACCCTATAACCACCCGGCGGCAATGGCATATACAGGATATGGCACATGCCCTGAACACCTCATGAAGGGAAGGCGCTGCTCCATTGCTCAGAGAAGGAGTTGGCAGACTGCCGCTGTCATCATACAATCCCCTGCAGCTAGCAGTTGGTTTTTAGGCTCACCCGGCATCCTTGCAACCAACCACTAGCAGCGGGAGGGTCGGGTGACGACAGCAGGTTGAATGATGAATTATGTTGAATGATTCGATGATGATTGCTTCCACAAGCAGCAGATTTATCACTTGTATGTGTATGTTTTGTTATATTGCATCCCCCACCTCAACTACATCAGAGACAGCGGAACGTCATGGTCAACAGTGATTGGGTGGGATGAGGAAAAGGGGATGGGGGATGGGAGATAATGCCAATGCATACAAAGGCAATACGTAGGGTGAGATACGTAGGCTGGCATTAGACCGCCAGGCCATGGGCCGCAACCCAGAGGCCCCCAAATCTTATCAATTTTGGCAGAGCAGTTACAACCCATATAGGTAAGTTTATACAAGGCCTCATTTATGTCAGCCTTCAACATAGCAATTGTAATTTCCATCTGAATAATATAACTCACCCGGCATAATATAGAGAATAAAAGATGAACAATTTTTGATGGGAAGTGGCATGGAGTAGATACGTCAATCCCGGGAGTGTAAGACTGGCCTCCATTGACAATGATAAAACACATTAAGAGTATCTACTACGTCAGACCAAAATATTTGTATCCGAGGGAAAGCCAACACCATATGAATGAAAGACCCCAATGAGGCACGACATGTGGTACAGGGGGCATCAAGAGTTGTATATATATAGTATTAAGTCTTAGGAGGGGTGTAATATACTGGATGTAAACAAATCAATTCAATATACCTGTCCATGGCTGAAATCATAAGGGGGTATATATTGTCGGACACCATCATCCCAATCATCCTCCACTAGGTCAGTAATGTCTTGTTGCCACTTAACAAAAAGACTAGAGCCACCCCAGAGGTGGCAACACAGGACGATCGAAGATAAACGGAGGAGAGAATCTACCCAATCCCAGAAGGAGGAGGACACGGAGGGGACACATTGCTGCAGTCGGGGGGTCCGGTCTATGAGGGGGAAGAATGAGACGTTCAGAGAACTCAGACAGGAAGAAGATTGTGCAATGAAATGTTTCTCCTTCCCCTTCTCACATATAATCTATTTAGGTCGTAGAGTCACAACCACCAAGATTAATATTTCTTTTTTATTTCACATATTTGTTATTAGAAGAAGAAGATATAACAGACACTTAGACAATAACACTGAGATCAATAATACGGGAAACACCCCCCCCCCCCCA